GTGGGTGATACGGTCAGAGTGGTTCTGTCTTGATATATTTTGATTTAATGTTCTGAAACCCATTTTATGATTAAGTTGCAATTATTTAACATATTAACAGTATATATCGTTATTCTGTATGATTCTTCCTGTGGAATTCTTTTAATATGTTGTGTCGCTGACATGAGAATTTACTCAATGTTTCTGTCTCTGTTATTCTTTGTTAAATTATTAAAACAATGGCAAATGTTTTATTTTGGAAAGTTCAGTGAGTTAAAATTGGTCGGTTGAATGAATATATAATTTTGATGATAATTTGTTCTAAAAAAGCAGAATGTAAAATCTGTAAGTTAATTAATTATATGCCTGTCTATTTTGGGTTACATCACGGATGGTATAACTTCCAAAATACCTTAGTGGAAGGGGTCGACAGTTTATTTACCTGGTACAAGCATTGGTACAATATAAAATGTGCTGAAAACATTGTCTTTTGTTTTGTTAAAAATAAGTAATAAATCACAGTTTTTTTTTTACCTGATTCTGCCAAAATTTACCATTTTGTCAGAATCAGGTAAAAAAAACCCTGTGATTTATTAATTATTAAGAGGTAAATATTCCTAAATATGTCTGTTTCTAAATAAAGTAAAAAAGGGTGTTATTTCTCTGTCAACATTTTGATATAACATATTAAAAAATGTTATGTATTTTTCTAGAGCTTTTTTTATTATTTTGGAGCAAATGTATATTATTTTCCATAAACCAGAGGGCTTGATCAAAAATTTTGAAAGAATATTGAAAAATTCATGCAGATTTATATTGTCAAAAGAATTGACTTCGGTGCTCAAAGGGTTTAAAAAATATAATTTCTAAAAATCGCTTATGCAAAAATATGTCAATAAATAAAAACAAAATTATGTCATTTGTGAGTATTCATTTCAAGAAGTGAACTATTGGTACATGGACCAGTAATCTTGTGTTAGGTATATACCCGCTGGCTGCCTACGAAATGCAACTGACATGTCAGGCTTGTTTAATCATCACCAATGACATGCTTTAATCTCTCTGTATAGGTGTATATCAACATGGTTGTATGAAAACAACACCTGTCCAATGTGTAATCAACGCGTGAAACCAAATGAGCGTAGTCGACTTGTTGGTGGTTTAGAAGCACTCAGTCTTTACAGAACAGAAGTGTAGTTGTATAGATGCAGGATTTTGTTTGGGTGTGAACTTGATAGATTATGGATCTTCAGACTTACCATATAATACTTGAGTTGTCAGATTCCTGCTACTGAAGAAGTTATGGGTGGCTCGTTTGATGAACTACAAAGAATTTCATGAAGAATCCCCTGAAGTTTTTTGTCCAATAAAATCACTGTTCCAAGACTTGCAATATGTGCAACCCTGTGTGGGGTTCTAAAGAGTTTGTGACGTATCCACTCCATTCTCTGGCAATGAACCGATGTACTCAAAATATAATACACTGTTCTTTAGATGACATCTATATATACCATATAAAGGCATATTTTACTGCTATTGTATTTTCTTAGAGTAAACTGTCCTGTACAGGTTTGAATCCATATAATGTACTTGTCTCTATTGGAAGGGCATATCCAATAGTTGGACATATAAACTAAAAATAATTGCATACTGGTTGAATCATTAAAATACGACTTATTTTGATCATTATGTAAGCGCATTTAATTGGAATTTATTTTCACTCAAGGGATGAGTAAGTGAAAAAAAAAATCCAGTGAAAATACTTTATTTCAGTGGAAAAAAATTCATACAAACAGCCAATTTATGTTTGTGTTTTTTCGAAAATTAATTCCAGCTAAAATAAAGTATTCTACAGTACCACGTTTTTAAACATTTGAATGCTAAACTTTGTGACTATTCACAAAATAAATTGGAATAATTTTTTCCTTATTTTTTAAAAAAAAGTTGATCAATTAAGTTTGTTTGCCCTCAAATTATCTAAAATGCAAAAAAAAATTGCAAAATGGTAAAATTTAAAACAAAAATTTAAACAGTGACATATTTATAACATTGTGGCATTGAAATAATGTCTCAGTGGCCTTGTAAACTACATGTACCTACCAAATAACCAAGAACTGCAGCAAAGTAATGTGGTTAGGGTTAAAAATGTACTTATCATCTGCAAACAATGTCTTATTTGATTACTTCAAAGTGCTACATTCTATAATGACTGGTTTTAGTAAGATGTCATCGCCAAACCCCACACAAACAACGTCATTAAATGCACTATAGACAAGTTCTCAATTTAAAAGATATAGGTATAATCCCTGTATCTTTGTTCTATTTGTTTGCTTCACACTCAGATATTTTGCTTTGTATATTATATTCCATATTTAAATCATAAATATTTTTTGTTGATTTGTGAATATAATTATTTGCTTTACTGATAGATTGTACCAATAGGGAACATGACTAGAGTGTGGCAAATTATAGTTCAATTATATATATATTATTATATGATTGTAACTGACAGTCAATTCTTTCCGCTTTAGAACTGATAACTTTATTCCTTTCACCACCAGTTTCCTCTTTTCATCACAAATTCACAAAGTAGTTATATATGTATTTATAGTCTGCACTTTCCTTCAGACGATTTGGACAAAAATAGCAAACCTTATTGGGTAAAAACTGAAAATTTACTCAAATTGTGTCTATTAATTGGCTTTAAAATTAGAATTCATTTCCAGAAATATTGAAAAATATAAGAAATAAGTGCAGAAACATTTGAGCAAAGAAGTCTGGCGGTGAAAAGGATATATCGGTACTGTATTTTGTAGTAGTCTCCTTAGAAGAGTATTAAATGATATATATTATAACCATAGACCTACTTCTTTCCATTATGTAAGCATTATTAATATAACAAATACTATAATATAATAAACGTTCATGTATTATTTTAGACTACTAACTGAATATCATTTACATATTTAAATATAAAGATTAGAAAATATTTTGCTTGACTTGTATTGAAATATTTTTGTTATATATTATGAATTGAGGATACATTAGTTATTTACCTTTTCTTAAAGCGCGGTGGTCGTCGCGCAGCACGTGTTTGAATTTCATGTAAACGAACAATGTATTTTACACGCGTTGTATACGTCGCTATGAGTCTCATATCGAACAGGACGCGACACGACGACTGCCGCCCTTTAAAATGAGGCTAAATATGGGAGAAAGAAATGTTGTTGTCAATGTCACAATTTACATTTCCCACAAACTTTTGTTGTTATGATTACGATAATTTGAAATTTTGTCAACAAGTTTGATATCCTATTAGTTGTGACACTGGTCTACATGGCACATAATGCATAATAGTTTCTTGATTGCTATTTTTCTGGGTGTCCATGCAACAATAACCAGTCATTTGTGAGAGCATTTGTTTAAACAAGGGAACAGGGGTGCAGCGCCCTCATGCCAGGGCCATGTGCCCCCTTACCCTGGGGAGCAGATCCTCTGGCAACCATGAAATTCTGATTGACTGGGGATCACATGTGGCCACAATCTTCAACTGTGACCTGTCTGATAGTAATTTTGGCCCCAAGGAAGCCATAGAAAGCTCCATTTTAACTTAGAATTATCAATAACTCCACACCCGGGTAGAGAGAACCCTATCTCCTCCACTTGGTGGCGCCGCTGAATTGCAGTGCTCCCTCTTGCAGTTTTTTTCTAGAAAAACCCCCTGATACTGTAAATCCCTTTTACTATGTGATAGACAAAATTTGTAGCAGAAATGTTTAAACTTTTAAATTGTTCGTTACCAAGGTCTTTTATAGTAGCACTTCTATGGGACTGATGTACTAGAATGAATGGGCTCAATTATCAGTGTTCATTGATGACATTGACTGGCCCTCTGGAGGCGAAATGACGCCAGCCCGTTTTATACTCGATATTTAGGGCATTTTAGCATTAATTCATAGATCTCAAATTTCATGTACAGAGTGACAAAAGCCAGACCTCTGCTCCCCTTTAACAAATTAAGCAGTTTACTATTACTGAACTTCTCGTTACTATCCTACAACCATAATAATAATAGAACAAATGTAACTGTGGTACAACATTGTTTTGCTCTGTCTATTAATTAAAATAACTTACTTATGTGTGGTTACAATAAATAACTCAAACAGTTTTTATCTAATTTCTTTCAAGCTTGGATATTATATTAACCAGTTTGGGATCTCGACCAAGTTTGATTATTGTACATGTTTTATGTATATTTTTAAAGATATTCATTAAATTTAACTTAAAATTGTCTTCTTCTTGTGGTTACAATAACTCAAACAATATTATCTAATCATGTTCAAATATGGGAATCTTATCAATCGCTATGAAATGTCAACCAAGTTCAATTTTGGTGTAACTAGCAAATACAATTTACAAGATATGGGGTAAAATTATACTGAAATAAAACATTTTTAGACATAGAAATAACTGGACAGAATGGAGACTAATGATAATGAGAACCAGAATCGGCTCTCCAAGCTCTGCCAATTGGATAAGTGTAGCAAACTGATAAATAAAAAAAAGTGACAAGTGCAGTGGACCCTGCCTTTTTCAAATCTGGCTAGTATTTAATTTTGCTTAAATATATTACTGTACCATTATTAGGGAACTTTTTACACAGTTCACGCTATATTATTTTATAAAGGCACATTAAGATTAATACAGTATATGGAGTATTAACTGAGGAACACTAGTATTGAGGAGGCTGGTATTTTTCTTTGATATGTATCTGAACTATTATTTAAAAAAAAAAACTTTTATACAATTCAAGTTATATTATTCTATGAGGAACATGGGGATTTATAAAGTGCATGTAATAGTATTTGAAGAAGATGAATATTATTTTTTTTATGTAATTATGACGACTTTTTATAGCCTTTATTTTCCATGTAAAATGCTTAGATAATATATTATTGTATTATTTCAGGACTTGTATACTCACTTTTGCCATGCAGTTTGTTATCCATTTATACGTTTATTATTTACTCTAGTTTCTCAATAGACAAAGTTGTAATAGTTACGCTTTTTTCCCAGAATTTATTTGCATGCTGTAAATAAAATAAAAAAACGGTGAAAAAATGGTGAGAAGTTTAGTTGATGGTTCTTTAAAATGTACCATTTTGAAAAACTTTCTGTGGTTCAACCAATTTTTTCTTGCAACTAGTGTTTGCCTAATTTTGTAAATTTAATGGTTACTCGTTTTAAAATAATAAAATTTGATATTTATACAAAATTCTTGAAGTTTTAATTAACCCATTTGTATCTGGTATCCATTTGATGGTTGTTTGACATAGGGAGCAAAATCAGAAAGTTAGCTGGCGACGTCAACATAAGTTGTAACAGTTATCACAGAATAAATTGTTATATGTAAAAAAAAAATACTGATTCCTGTATGATATCAATACATTATTTATTTAGCGGTTAGTTGGCGAAATATGCTTTTCGGAAAAAGTGGCCCGAGAATGAAAACTCCGACTGTTTCATTTTGGAATAGGAAAACGAAAGTTTAGATTTTGTGCTATTTGGTGGCGCTGTACTAATTTACCTCACACCATGCAACTACTGAGTACAGGGTTTGTTGGTACATACTGGCACCGAAAATGTCCTTGATTGCGATTATTTCGTTTGTGTATTTTACCATGGAGGTAATAAGAATCCATTCTTATTACCTCCATGGTTTTATATTATTCAGTCTGTTTTCTTCCCACGAACGTCAAAATTGGCTGTTATTCTTTCAAAACCTAGTTTCAACGTTTTCTGGAAATCAACCTACAGAAAATACATTTTCTAAGGTGTGTACAGGATGTGCGTGTGATATGTCATGTCAACACGGTACTGTGGTCATGTGATCTGATTTCGGGAGTGGTCCCACCTATTTCCACAGCGAAGTACGAGTAATTTGCATCCTACATCCGGGTCGTTAGTGCGTAAAGAAAGGTCCCGTACTAAGAAACGCGGAAGTAAGCAATGGTGTAAAGTCCGATACGTATTTGTGTTCGTGCGGTCAGTTGGTCGATATTATTCACCGTAACTCGTGTAGAAGCCGTAGTTACCAACAGGTATTGTTTCAGCATCGCTGTCACATCGATTGAATTTTCTACTCTGTTCACTTAATACCGTGTCGATGGCGCTTGTTCAAGTTCCGTGTATCGTCTGATCGACTTAGTTTTTTTTGACAAAAGAAATCCGCGCATTGCCCGTCAAAGGTGAACAATATACAGTGGGAACGCCTCAGAATAGCTGCACCATAGTCTAAAAACAGCTACTCCTTCCTCCGCTTTATTTGTTCAATATTGTTTGCAGGGGGATATCGTCTGGACGATGGTGCCGTGGTAGAAAACGTGTTTCCTGCCAACACTTTGATGGAACCGTATCGTACTCTCCTGAACTGTTTTCCAGGTACGATATATAGTCAATTATCTTTCTCTTGAAATAATTTATAAAACAAATTTTCGTAAGTTTAGTCATAGACCTTCTATGGTTTAGTGCGATTTCTTCGGTATATGGTATGATGGAGACATCAAAACATGTTGTGTAAGTTTTCAAAAAAAGTTTACAGCAATAATTCACAAACTTTATCTGTTTTATCTTTACTGGCTAAACCATCTTCCGGGTTATACCCACCCGAAACATTTTTCCATAATCTTTTCATAACAATAATCTTGCTGCTCAGTTTGTTTGCTTATACGTGCACACATTCCAGGTAGCTATGGGTTAGAGGTTGTATGTACAATTTTGTATTACCGAGAGACTGTCACCAGACGAATTATGTTATCTTCTGATTTTTTGTTGTTCGAATAACAAATAGAAATGCATTCCCAGGACACCTATTAAAAATTTATATTTTTATATTTTGTATTTAAATCGTCTGATTCGAAAATAAATCCAGTGCAGTTGTGAAAATCATAGAAATTTATTTCAGAACTGAGTGACATAAAATTAAGTAGGTAGCCGGTATTATACATCTGTCTGTCATATCTGACATAATTTTTTGGTATTGCACTGGGTACCGGTATTTGCATCCTACCATATTTAGAAACGCAAATTCCAAATATGGACCGATTACGCACATAAGCGTCCTCTAATAATAGAAAACAAACATGGCAGCCCCAGCACGAAGTTTGACCGTGCCCCACACAAAGAAATTCATTAAATCTGTTCTAAACTTTTTGGATTTCAGCATTCCCATGATGTATCCTTGGAAGGAAAAAATGTATAATAATAACATTATTATGAGGATACGGCAAAGTATGCACTCGGACAGTTCACGGTCACATCAGCCTCCGCTGTGTGTCGGCCTATACTCTCATTGTGTAGTCTTTGTGCATACTTTGTGGTATCTTCGTAATAACCTGATAATATTATCATCTTATTTTAATAATTTGTCTTACATAGAATCATGTGCGGCCTGTATTATTTATTTATCATCACTAAAATACCACTACGACCTATTTTTTACAACTGACCATTGATTGACCACTGTTATAAATTCCCCATAAAGAACTTATAATCAGAGAGCAACTGTTACATTTGACCTTTTTATTTGCATCATTATTTCTGTCAAAATTTTGTGCGGCATGTGATTTTCTCTCAATCATTGATTTATTATCATAAAATATATAATATACTGACTGTATGCATTGCATTTTGTTTGTTTTCAAATTTGAAATTTACTAGTATAAAATATTTTTAAATAATAATTTTATTATATGTTTATAATAAAACAAGACACTTTGCGGCGGACGTCTTTCATTGTCGGTGATATTCACGAATATATTTGTTCACAACTCTACAAACCTTTTATTACTGGCCAGTCTAATAATTAAAAACTACTAGAACAGGTCCAATGATATCATATATATGGGCAGTATATGAGAAATTTCAAGGTGTTTTTAATAATATACTGATCGAAATGTTGCTACTGCGCAACAATTATTTTAATGGGTGTATATATTTTAGTGCATACACATGTACATGTACACTTACAAAAATAACAAAAAAAACCCCCTCTAATATTAGTAATAGAATTTATTATATAACTTTGGCCAAAGAAGTTGTTGTTTTTCCTTGTCATAGTTATGCATTTTTTCCATTCCTGTAACCTCATGCGAGAATCATAATATGATTTAAAATTCTCAACTGACTGATTTTGCAATACTAGTATTAGAGAGGTTGTCCATGGAAGTTGCAAATATTGTGTTCACTGACATTTTTTTGTATTTACATTTTCATGTATACCCAGGGGGTTTGTGAATTGCTGTCCATCGGACATCACAATATGCTTCTCCAAATGAACGGATAAATCTGTTGTCACCTTCTCAAAAGGCACCTTGTAAACCACATGTAGAATACTTGATGTAAGATAAATTAGATCGGAGAGTGTAATAGTAGATCTACCGGTATAAATAATCTGTATACACTTATATTATGCTTATTATGTTTTTAAATTACATGTGGTTCTGATAACCTTACTCTACCAGTACCTAAAATTTATTGTCTACCCTTAATGTCAAAACTTTTTTTGCCTAAATATTTAAAATGGTGCAAAATCATACACTATTTCAATGAAACTTTAATAAAAATGAATTTATTTATCCAGAATTATTTTTAAGCTAAACAAGGAAGACTTTACTGTGAACATCATTAAATATGGGTTTGGTTGAGTAATCAGCAAGCTGGCACAAAGATTATTATGTCAAAGAGAAAGAAAAAATTAAAATTCTATTTTTGAAGTGCTTGTTTTCAGAACCACACAATTTAATTTTTTTTTTTTGGCTTGAGGAAAATTTCACTTTGCATTTTAAAATTTCTCAACTCCACTTATAGAAAAAAGTGGAAAAACCAAAACAGTACATGGTGTCTATAAAATTACCTAGAAGTGACTTGTAGATCATATTTTTCATGCAAAGATATGATCGGCTTTTTTGAACAACAAGATTGCCTTATCTTGTAGGTCGTGACACTGCATTTGTTTGGCTTCACAACACATATCTTTTGTATCTATGACGCATATGAGGATGCTGGAATATTGTGTAACTATCAGTATTCTTTATTTGCTAATTAGATAGACAATTCTTAGATACTTACAGATGTTAGAAAGCATGGATTTAGTACAAAAATATGCATCCAGGACACAAAAGTTATTGCAGCCATGTTTGTTTTTGTTATCAGAGGACGCTTACACACGCAATCATTCCATATTTGGAATTTGCATTTTCTTATATGGTAGGATGAAAATAGCCGTAAAATACTGCAAAATTACGGCACGCTGTAACATGTTACGGTGACAGATGTATAATAATAGTGGTTACATGTAGCAGAGTCTTTATTATATAAAACACAGGCTACAATATAAACATGTTTTCTCAGTGGGTGTGTTATGTCCTGTGAATAACGAGTTCAAAATATTGTCTGAATCAGGTAGATTAAAATGTTCTGAAAACACTTGATCTGTGACAAATTGTCACAAAACTTCACACACAAACTGATACTTCAGTAAAACTGACACAATTGAAACAAAATCTGGGTCTCCTTAATTTAAATTTGCATATATATTAACCAGTAGCATGAGTGCATAGTGAATGACGCTCAGTGATGTTATTGAAGCTGCAGCATTTATTAGGCCCTGTTCATGTTTCAATTCAAGATGGCCGATGACTGCAATTTTAGTGCTAACAATTTCTGCTATTCCAGAACTGGATTTCAGTCATGCATGGCATATTTCAAACTTGGTATGTCCAACATTAAATGGGTTGTTGATGTACAAATTTGTTTTCCCAGATTTGATTCAAAATGGTTGACGGATGGCCATTTTATTTTGTTTCTAATGAATGCTTTATTTAGAGCCATATTGCTAACATGACTTGGCTGATCATGTTCAAACTTTACACATATGTCATGTAACACATTCTCACATGCATCAGTTTCAGAATCTAATTCAAGATGGCTGACCGTCATTTTTGTGATAGAAATTCATTATGAATATCATCAATAATAAAGGAAGGAAAACACAAGTAAACTGGCTCCACCTTTGTATTACGTCTTTCACATAAGTGTAATCTTCAAATGTTTCACAAAACTTATTCGTACCATATCTTAGAGTACAAGTTTAATCTTTACTGTGGTTTTCTGCTGAACTCAGGAGCACTGTTGCCAGTTAGCAAGCAAAACAGTTTAAGCTAAGATGCAAGGGTACTGTCGTTGTTGGTGAAGAATAACAAAAATAAACACAGACAGCACAGCAAATATTTTGCTCAGTGTGTCACACCCAGAAGAAACCATTAATAAAACAGGGGCACCAACTTGCAACAGGATATATTTGGTATACTGTTATGAACGTTATATTTAAAAGCAAATGGTTTGATCATTAAAAAAAACAGATGAATATTTTTGATAACACCACGAACAAATCACGCCGCTAACTTTCGTGATTGGTGCCCTGTATGGAAAGGGGGGAACAAAATTGAATATTCCAAATTCCAGAAATCTACTACTACAATTTCTTTCACTTTCACTAAGAACTATTTTCGGTCTCGGAGATTTGGGTATGTGCATCAGAAATACAAACCACCCACCATTCATTCACTGCAACCAGATAGTTACTAAATCCAACATGATGTCTGAGGTGATATCACATTAATATTTCAAAAGAACTCATCGGTAAATACAAGAAATTGGTGTAAAGGACAAAGGAACAGTTTTCTAATCAGATTTTTAATTATCAAACTTTAGTGTCAAAACTGGGACTAACTGTTTGAACTGATGTAATAGGTAAACAAAGTAAATGAGGAAAATAGCAAAACTAAAAAAATTTCTATGTGAATTTATTAACATATCACTCATACATTGTGAGTGAAATTACATATTTACATGTATATTTGGACGATAAATAGCATTGTAATTAAATACTGTCAAATACAATTGGTGACAGTGTCAAAGGTTGTTTGCCTGTACTTTTCTTTGTGGCTGTCATTTGTATAATTGCTTCTCAGCCAGCAAACCGGCTAGCTAAATATTTGGTGTGTTTCAGTTTACCAGCAGCCATGACTTAATTATTTCATATTTCTTAATTGATTAGAAGACTATTTTCTTCAATGATCATTTTTAAGAATAATTGAAATTCCACAGTTTTCTTAATCTCTTTTACCCCAAATTTCATTTTGCATGTCCAAGCAATCACACTATCATATATACTGGTAATAAATACTTTAATTGTTGGGTGTTACTGGGGTGTGGCTATGACATGCATTACTGCATGGCACATAGGTACATCATCTGTTAATAGATCATCCAAGTAACAACCACTGCCAAGTATGGAATTCCAACGTCATAGTTGTGAACTTTGACCAGTCATAGATTCTGGAGCCAACAAGTGTTTTAAGTAACTAAGTAGAAAATAC